CAAACGCAAGCGATGACTGTCGTATATTGCGATATCGATTGTCGGTCGGTAAAAGAGTTACAGAATAGCACTACAGAATCGCTAAAATATGTCGATTGTTTTGTTAAGGAACAAATGTTTATCAATGTTTTTTGGCTTCAAGCAGCAAATGTATTAGGGCGGGTCGAAAATCTAATTTTTATCAAATCCCTTTGGAATAGTGAAAATATATTGTATCATGAAGTCAACAACAAGCCTGCAAAATATTAGTATTTTATTTTAATTGTAAGAGCCCGCGCATCGACCGCCAAGTGACACACAGCATACTGGTCGAATAAGATCAATTCTTGTTAAAGTTTCTGGGTTCAGCAAAAAGGTTTGGTGCATATTATTAAATAATCAATCCGCTAACACAAAAGATAAAGTCAAATATTATTTCTCGCAGCCCTTTAGCTTATCGGTAATCTCAAAGTTATTTATTATTCAACCAAATTGTAATTCTTTTGTTGATAACTGCACTGGTCTTTAGTCAAAATATTCTACTCTTTTTTTAGTATTAGATATAGTTAGCCAATTTTTGCAAATTTGGGAACAATTTCAGCTGCTCTAATAGAATAACCATTCTTTCCATCGCCGTGGAAAAATTTTGTTTATACAAATGAGTATGGAAACACAAAGCAGGTACAACTTCTAGAAACACTTATTAGATTACATATGTTTATGCATACACGAAAACTGCAAATATAGGAAGTTGACAAAAATTTTGGTTCAACATTTATTTCATTTTTAAATAATTTTTTTTTTTATAATGTGAATGTACGAATTTTAAACAAACAGCACAAAAACTGTACATACTGAAGATAAAAAGGGTCAGCTAGTTTTATAACTGGGAGTGTAACATAATAAACTATTATTTATTTTTTCTTCCCTCACATTCGTCTATTATTTGATACATATTTTCATAACATACATGTTTATAGATTAATTATAATTTTTGCAATAATACTCGCAGTGCTTTATAAAAATCATGTTTTGTTATTGAAGAAGTACAAACGTTAGTTTATTACACTAGAGTTCTAGTAAACATATACAGATTTTGTATTGCTCTTGTATATGGTATTTATATGTACACATGTAAGCGACATTTGTTTTAAATCTTTTTTTTTTGTTTTTGATGCAGAAATGCATCGAGACTTTCTGCATCAAAAACAAAATTTGAAAAAACTTCGTTTATATCTTTTTGGCGGGCCGGGCTCGATATATAGATAAGTACATATGCATACATTGTATATATTAACTAGCAGACCCGGCGAACTTCGTCCCGCACGAAATTAATTTTTTGTATTGAAACATTTTGGTCCAATATTTTCACCAACAGTCCACGTTGATGATTTTCAGTGACGCATTAATCTTCTAATATTACGGTTTGGTGGTTGTCGGAAGGCATATTTCCATTGCTATCTTAAGTATCCTAGCAGAAGTGTATATGCATACAAAGATACGTAATAGCTTCAGTGCGTTTGAAAGGCGCCACGCCCCTTATAAAATAGCCGCAATGTTCTCTAAAAGTATGGGATTGATTTCATATATCTCCATACAATGTTCGAGTACTCTACCATGAACACTTCCGGAGATATGCAGTCTGAAAACTTCGGTTTGTATAGGAGGTGCCACGCCCCTTTTTCCAATAGCCCCAATTTTTCTTCGTGACTATGCGATTTATTTTATATGTCTTGTACATACCAAGTTCCAGTACTCTACCATTAACACTTGCAGAGATATAAAGTGTGAAAAATTCGTTTTGTACGGGAGGTGCCACGCCCCCTGCACCTAGCGGTATGAAATATACTTTACATCCGATTCTCATACCTACCATATATGCACAAAAAATTTCATAAAGATCGGTCAAGCCGTTTAGAAGGAGTTCGACCACTAACACCGTGACACGAGATTTTTATATATTAGATAAATTTTGAAGGCCCACGATTAAAACAAACATCTTTTCTTCGCATTTATTTGAATTATGGAATACTAGCTTATACCCGCGGGTTTCACCCCGCGCTTTTATACAAATATGAAAAATAATTTAATGATGTTAGATTTTATTTCTGTGCCCATTTCGTTATAGCTCGTTATCTTTTAAGCGAGTTAAGGTATTTAGGCCGTTTAAAACTATGAAATTATAAAATCTCGTCTGCGCGCTAGGCATACGAAAGATATCAATCCCTCTAAGTTTACCTTAAAATGTTTCCAGGTATACGACGCGTGAACGTGTAACCTTCTTGGAGGTGCCACGGCGAGTTCTAATATTTCCAACACAAATTTAGTAACCTGGCCTTGATAAAATACAACTTCTCATTACTGTAGCAAATGCCTCAAGAGAGCTTTAGATTATAAGGCCGAACCCGGCTCTCCCTTTTCCATTTAATGAAATTTATTCTGTCAGTACGGCACTTATAAAATAAATCTCCATAACAAATTTAAAATACTTCGAGAGATTTTCTATCCTTCCAGAGATACGTATTAAGAAGTTTTTAGTATGTATGGGAGGCGACATGCCTCCTTTTTTAATAACTCACATTTTTTCCATGAGCAATTGCTACATTTTGTATACACAACTCCATACCAAGTTCCAGTATTCTTCCACAAACACTTCCAGGGATATGTGGCAAGAAAAAGTAAATTTGTACTGGAAGTGCCACGCGCCTTTTTCTTATAACCCTAATCTTCTTCCATGAATTTAGAATTGATTCCCAGTACTCTACCATGAACACCTCTAGAGAACGGCAGGAACCATATCTCCTTTTCGAATAACGCAAATTCTTCTCCATGAGTATGGAATTAATTTTGTATAAACATCTCGGTGCCAAGTTCCAGTCCTCTGCAATAAACACCTCCAGAGATATGCAGCATAGAAAAATCAATTTGCATGGGAGTTGCCACACCACCTTTTCCAATAACTCTCATTTTTCTCCATGAGTATGGTATTAGTTTCACATACATACATACATATGTATTTCCATACCAAGCTTGAGTGTTTTACCCCAAACATTTGAAGAGATATGCAATATGAAACTTTCAGTCAGTATGGGAGGTGCTACGCCTCTTTTCCAAAAACGTCCATTTTTCTCCGTGAATATGAACATGATTTCACACAGTGTTGGCAAACTGTTAATCTGATTAACGATTAAAAATTAACGATTAAAACGTTAATGGCGTTTGACGATTGAAATTAGTTAGTCGTAATCAACTGTACGATTAATGATAAAATTTTTTTAATCGTTAACCGCTGGCTGCGATTACGTTTAATTAATTTAAAACATTAATCGTTAATCCAATTAAAAATAAAATCTGATTAATTTGTCTAGTTTGTCCGAGTTTGAAACCAAACACCAGTTATAGTAATTATTTTGTGTTTTACGCTTATAAAAAGCAGAAAATATAAAAAAAAATATAATTATTATTATTAGTAATACATAAACTGGGAACTTTTACAAACCTAGTTTGTAAAACGTTTGTTGGTATATATTTTAATGAAAATGCACACCAAATTGCTTAGATTGATGAGGAAACCCGACTTAGCCATACCGGATTAACTTGCTTTGTGTGCACAGGGAAATTCCAGCATAACTTAATTAATCACCAAACCTACTTGATCAAATTAAGAGTTAATAATTAAAAATTAATTTTTTAATCGCGGTTACGATTAACTGTTTAGTCGGATTAAAATTAATCATGATTAACTGTAATCAGATTGAATTTAATCGAATTAACTAACTAATTAAAACATCAATCGATTAATGCCAACATTGATTTCACATACATGTCACTATACCAAGTTTCAGTTCTCTCCCACAAATACTTCCAGAGATATGTATGTAATATGGAAATTCCAATTTGTATGGGAGGGGCCTTGAGTTATCGGACTTACTTTCAGTCTAAGACCATCCTTCCGAAATCCGTAGGAAGTGTACTAAATTTCGTTCTGATCGGAAACCCGGTTAAGGAAGTAGCCTATTTTTCAGTCCAGGTCATAAACCATCTTTGAGCAAAATTTCATTTTCAAACAGGTGGCAATTCTTAAAAAAGTAGCCTATTTTCCAGTCTATGTCATAAGCTATATGTGTGCAAACTTTCATGCAAATCAGTTCAGTAATTTACGCGTATTAATTTAATTAAACTTTCCTAATACGTGATAACTCTTAAGATAGTAGCCTATTTTCCAACATAGGTCATAAGCTATCTCTGTGCGAAATGCCATGCAAATCTGTTCAGTCGTTTCCCCGTATTAATTTAATTAAAACTTTTTTAACAGGTGGCAACTCTTTCAAAAAATTAGCCTATTTTCCACTGTAGGTCATAAGCTATCTGCTTGCAAAATTTCATGCAAATCCGTTCAGACTTTTCCGCGTATTAATTTAATTAAACTTTTTTAGCAGGTGGTAACTCTTAAAAAAGGTAGCCTATTTTTCAACCTAGCTCATAAGCTATCCGTGTGAAAACTTCCATGCAAATCAGTTCACTCATTTCCGCGTATTAATTAAATTAAACAATTCTAACAGGTGGCAACTCTTAAAAAAGTAGCCTACTTTCTAACGTAGGTCATAAGCTATCTGTGTGCAAAATTTCATGCAAATCCGTTTAGTTGTTTCCGCGTATTAATTTAATTAAACTTTTTTAACAGGTGGCAACTCTTCCAAAAATGAGCCTATTTTTCACTGTAGGTCATAAGCTATCTGCTTGCAAAATTTCATGCAAATCCATTCAGTCGTTTCCGCGTATTTATTTAATGAAACCTTTTTAACAGGTGGCAACTCTTAAGAAAAGTAGCCTATTTTCCAATCTAGGTCATAAGCTATCTGTGTGCAAATTTTCATGCAAATCCATTCAGTCGTTCCCGCAAATTAAATAAATTAAACTTTTTTAACAGGTGGCAACTCTTAAAAAAAATAGCCGATTAAACAATCTGCCCCATAAGCTATCTGCGTACCAAATTTCATGCAAATCCGTTCAGTCGTTTCCGCGTGATGATTTCCCAAACATCCAAACATACAAACTTTCACATTTATAATATTAGTAAGATAGTAAGATTAGTAAGATTAAGGGAGCGTCTATACATTAGAATATCGTGCAATAATGCGATCTTGCACTCTCCTTGCAGCTGCAGATGGTCGTAAAATTTCCTCAAGGGGCTCATTGAAAAGGTGATTTGGTGTTTCCGGTACGGTATCAAGAATTTCATATTCCCACTCTGAGATGCGTATGTTATGAAGTACTGCGCAGGCGTTAACAATTCTGCCTGCAAATCCTGGATCGTTAACTAAAACCCGTTGCTCTGATAAACAACGCCATGTATTTTTCAACACTCCAAAAAGACTCTCTATAGCGTTACTAGCTTTACAGAGTGCATCATTTTACCTGTACCTCGCTGTGCCTTCTTGTTCATGTGGTAGTGGGGTCATAAGCCAAGGCTCAAGTGGGTAACCGGAACCGCCTGTAATACATATTACTCGTTCTTTTTATATATAATTAATAATTTATGACGTTACCAATCAAATAAACTCCACGTTCTCCTCGTTCATATGATCTCATAACTCTGCGGGTAGCGGATGCACTCCATATAAAGGAGTCATGACGTGCTCCGGGATAACGCGCATTGACATTCAAAATTTTCAAAGTAGGATCACATATCTGCCAAAAAAAATGCACATAAGACAATTACGAGGAGGAAGATAAATTTTGATTGCCTACCATTTGTATATTAATGGAATGATAGCCATGATGATTCACATAAGATTCCTCATGCTCGTAAGGTCCTCGAATGGCATCATGAGTGCAATCTATTGCTCCTATTGCCCCTGGGAAACAATGTCGAGAAACAGTCCATTGTTCTATAACCTCATGCCGTTCTGTTGCCGTCATTGGAAAGCGTACATACTGCCCGAACTTTATTTTATTTATGGAATTTGTCACTTTGCGAATACTGCTTGAAATTGAAGACTGACTCATCGATATTCCCCACTGCTCACCCACTGGCCGCTGGTAATATCCAGTTGCATAAAATCGTAGAGCAGCTAATACCTAAACAATGGTATTTATGGTACTTTTTATTTATTGAATTTATGTATGTATATATATACGAGTCTTGCCATGTCCGTTTTTCCACTGATAACGCGCTTATACGTGCTCCCTTGATTTCACTATAAATGTGGTCAATTATTGTTTCCATTGCATCGGGAGTAAGACGATATAGCTTTGCGAACTCTTCGCTTTCCAATAAAAATGGATCTTCAATCTGTCGCAAGTGTGTGCGATCGACTACGCTGTGCATCACGCTTGTGGATAAATCCATTGCCAAGAAACTAAAGGCCATACAATTTATAAGACAAAACATGTTAAATATAGATTTTACTTAATTGTCTTAAACCATTAATTATAAACTACCTTTTTTGAATTCTTTAGCGAAAAAACAGTTACAATGCAAATTTAGCTTTTATCAACATACATATGTATTAGGGCGGGTAAATTTTTTTTCGACATCGTTCCTAGCAGATTCGGATTCTACATAAAATTCTAAGAAAAAAAGTCCTTTAGACCATAGCTCTAAAATCAATTTCGAGCCTGCGCAATTTTGAAAGAAAATATCTTTATTCTATACTATAATAAAACTGTAGATTGTTTTTCTGTTTGAACTCACT